CTCACCCACCCGTCCGTCCACCCCACCCGTCACTCACCCACCCGTCCATCCATCATCACTCACCCATCCGTCCATCCACCAATCTACCCACCCACTCAGCTGCCCACCCGGCCATCTGTCCAGCACACCCGTCCAGGTGCTGGGCACTTGCTCTGTGCCAGGCCTGGGAAGGTCACTGCATATGGCAACTGAGGAGATGGGAGATGCTTGTGACTCCAGTGACACAGGTGGGCCCAGATGTTGTGGTTTGGATTTGTGTCCCCACCCAAATCTCAGGTCAAACTGTAATCCCTAGTGTTGGAGGAGGGGCCTGGAGAGAGCTGATGGGGTCACAGGGGTGGGCTTTCACCTTCCTGTTCTCATGATGGGGGGTTCTCATGAGGTCTGCTTGTCTCAGGAGGGGCCTGGAGGGAGGTGATACGGTCACAGGGGTGGACTTTCACCTTGCTGTTCTCGTGATGGGGGGTTCTCAAGAGCTCTGGTTGTCTGAAAGTGTGTGGTGCGTCCCCCATGACTCTTTCCTGCGTGTAGGAGGTACCTTCTTTGTCTTCACCTTCCACTGTGATCGAAAGTTTCCTGAGGGCTCCCCAACCATGCTTCCTGTACAGCCTGTGAGTCAATAAACCTCTTTTCTTTATAAGTTACCCTGCCTCAGGCAACTCTTTATAGCAACATGAGAGCTAATAATACACCAGGCTCTGGGGATGGGGAGGCTGGGAAGCACCTGGGGGAAGACACTTCCAAGGTAAACAGGGTCTTCAAGACTGAGATGCAAGGGTATTCCTGGCAGAGGAAGAGCCTGCGCTGTTGCACGGGGTGCACGGCCTGGGAGGGGCTGAGCAAGGCTGGAGGGCGGCGCACGGCACAGCTGGTCAGGGAGGTCCTGGTTGGCATTTTTCAGAACCTGGGTCTTATGTATGAGGCTCCTTGACTCTGGACTCCATGCTGCTGACCCCTGCTATGAGAGTGCTGGAAAGAGGCTGGCCCAGGCAGTCTTGGCCACCTTGAGGCCTTGTGTCATCTGCACAGCATCCGGCGACCTCAGACCCAGGGACAGCACCTGGCACACTTGCTGGAGGAGAAGATGCTGTGGTGGGTGGTAGCCCAGGAGTGCCTGCATGTGTGGTCGTCTGCATTTGTGTGCATGCCTGCATGTGGGTCAGCATCCATGAGCGAGCATGTCCCGTGAGTGCCTGCATATGTGGTTGTCTGTGCATGTGTGTGCATGCCTGCACGTGGGCCTGCGTCTGTGAGCAAGCATGGCCCATGAGTGCCTGCATGTGTGGTTGTGCATGTGTGTGCATGTGGGCCTGTGTCCGTGAGCGAGCATGGCCTGTGAGTGCCTGCATATGTGATTGTCTGTGTGTGCATGCCTGCATGTGGGCCTGTGTCCGTAAGTGAGCATGCTGTGTTCAACTCCACGTGTGCAGGAAGTGCTACCTTGCTTGTCTGCACGTACATGTGCCTGTGTGTTCATTTCATGCATGTATGGCTGGGCATGTGTGTGTGTGTGTGTGTACATGGATGTGCATACATGTGTACGTGCCTGTGTTTGTGTATGCCTGGAACCCATGCACACCCAGGGTGTGTGGTGCTGCAGAACAGGCATGGCCGAGCTCACAGCTGGGCAGCAGCATGGACACTCAGGCAGGACTCGTGTTTCCAGGCCAAGGCATGCTCCACACTTCTGGGTTAAATCAGCAGAATGAAAAGAAGAAAATCTAACAGGTGTAATTCCAGGCACATTCTGCTCTATTTCTATTCTGAGTGGGACTCAAGGGCCTCCTACAATCTCTAAGAGCAGATCTGAGCTGTACCAGACCTCAGCATACAAACAACGCAGCTGCTTCGCCCCCCCATGGCTCTTCTCTCCTCACTTACAGACCTCAAGCCACTGTCCCCATGTTGTCTCATTGGGCTTACCTGGATTGCTGTTTCAATTCTGTAAAGGAATTAAACGTCAGAGATAATGATACGGCATAAAGATTTGAAAAACATACTGTGCCTGGTGCTGTTTCAAAAATATATACGGTACCATTATCTGTAACACTGAATTGCTTTGCAGAATTAAGAATCTGTGTGCATGTCTGCACACAGATACATGCATGCTCACACAGGGGCCCACAGACATGCATGCATACTCACACATGTGCACACACATTCCCATGCATGTGCAAATACATATGTACTCACATGTCCACACATTCACACAGCTCACGTGTCAACACATTCACACACTCTCATGTATGTCCACTCGTGCACACACACATTTACAGATTCACATACACACGTGTCCACACATGCACACATGTTCACATGTATCCACATACTCACACATCTCACACGTGCCCACATTCCCACACATGCACAATGCATGGTCACATGTCCACACATGCTCTCACACATGCACACACTCACACTTGTCCACATGCACACACTCACACTTGTCCACATGCACACACACATGTGCCCACATATTCACATATGTCCACACACCCACGCATCTCATACACGTGCTCACACATTCCCACGCATGAATAAATGCATGGTCACACCTGTGTCCACATGTCCACACATGCTCTCACATGTCCACACATGCACACACACATCCCCACACGTGTCAACACTCTCACGTGCATGTCCACACATGTGCACACACGTGTCCACACATTCACACATGTTCACATGTGCCTACACACATGCACACATCTCGTCTCCACATACATGCATGCGCACTCACACACGTGTCCACACACAGGCAATTGTCCCTCTAGAAAACACAAACGAATGACAAAAATAGTGTCCTCTAAAGAATTTGGCAGTACAAAGTTAAATTCCATCTGAAAATTATCTACAGAACCTGTTATCAAGGTGATTTTCCCCCGAATAGCTGGCTAACCTGCAAAAAGCTTTTCCCGTCCATCCATGCTACAGATACCTACATGTAGCCCACAGTACACCAGAGGCTCAGACCACAGGTGTTCATCTGCAGCCAGGTCTCGCCAGGAATCCCCTCGCTGCATGGCTCTGTGTGCCAGTGGACTCACCCTGCATCTTCTCCAGCTTGCTCATGTATGAGTTGAAGAGGGAATAGATACGCTCCGTCTCACGGTCCCCATCAATGTCCAGCTGGATGTTGGCTGGGAGGCCGCTGTCCAGACAGTGAGAACAGAAAGATAAAAATATGTATTTAAACAATGCTTTTAATAATGATGGTAATTTTTAAAATGTCACTGAAGGAAGGCGACAACTGTGTTGGAAGTGAAACTCGAGACAGGACCTATTTGCCGTCCGTCTGTACACAGCAGCCAGTGCAAGTGTTGGCTTGGTGAGACGTCCACAGTGGCACTGACACCAGCACTGACACCAGGCCGCAAGCTGGACCTAACTAGCAACCTCTGCTTCGAGTACGATCGACGTATTTGGAGACTTCGCAGAAGATCCTTGCTGTTCAGTGTTTAAAATGGGCTTATCATTTGTACTAACTGACCTTTCCTGAAATCAAGCATTACTGAGTTATGTCTGGTTTAAACCTATTCTTACTCCAGAATCTTATCAATACATAAGAAATTTAGAAAGATTAGGTGCCAAAATACCCAGTGTCATACTTGTACGTTTGTAGTATCATGCAGAACTAAATTCCCAGTAACTATGAGCACTCCAGACCTTGTGGCTTTTCCCTTCAATCATTACAAACACTCAGGGACGCTGTGTGGTTACTGCCCTGCTCACTTATGTTCACTTCTCCTACTTCCACACCAGCACACAGCAGTTTTCCTTAAGCACTGGTTTTTAAAATTTTTTACCAAGTCTTACCAAGATTTTTTTCTTTTTAATTTTTTTGAGAGAGAGCTTCACTCTCCCGGCCAGGATGGAGTGCAGTGGTGCAATCTCAGCTCACTGAAACCTCCACTTCCTGGTTTAAGCGACTGTCCTGCTTCAGGCTCCTGAGTAGCTGGGATTAAAGGGGCCTGCCACCACACCTGGCTAATTTTTGTATTTTTAGTAGAGATGGGGTTTTGCCATGTTGGCCAGGCTGGTCTCAAACTCCTGATCTCAGGTTATCCACCCACCTCAGCCTCCCAAAGTGCTGGGATTACAGGCATGAGACATGGAGTCCAGTCTCTTATCTTTTCTTTTTATAAATCTTACTTTGTGCTACTACTGTGAAAAACCTCCAAAGTTGGGCGTGGTGGTTCACACCTGTCTCTACTAAAAATACAAAAATTAGCTGAGCATGGTGGCACGTCTGTAATCTCAGCCACTTGGGAGGCTGAGGCAGGAGGATCACTTGAACCTGGGAGGCAGAGGTTGCAGTGAGCTGAGATCGTGCCACTGCACTCCAGCCTGGGCAACAGAGGCTCCATCTCAAAAAGAAAAAAAGAAAAAAGGAAAAAGTCTCCATTTTGAAAATGTAGGCCTGGCACGGTGGCTCACGGCTATAATCTCAGTCCTTTGGGAGGCCAAGGCAAGATCACCTGAGGTCAGAAGTTCGAGACCACCCTGGTCAATATGGTAAAACCCTGTCTCTACTAAAAATACAAAAATTAACTGAGTGTGGTGGTGCATGCCTGTAATCCCAGCTACTTGGGAGGCTGAGGTGGGAGGATGGCTTGAGCCTGGGAGGTTGAGGCTACAGTGAGCTGAGATTGAACCACTGCACTCTAGCCTGGACGACAGAATGAGACCCAGTCTCAAAAGCATGAAACTAAAAAAGCTTCCCCGAGCTGGGGGAGCTGAGGCTGCCTGTGGGTGGTGTGGGATGTGGAAAAGCCCCTGAGCTGAGAGAGCGGAGGCCAGCTGTGGGTGGTGTGCGATGTGGGAGGCTCTCGAGCTGTCCCGTGTTCTCGTAGGGAGAAATGGCCTGGAATGAAACCCTTCTGGGGGTGCATCCCCTGCAGGGTCGGCCGCCGGGTGGGGACATGCCAGGTTTCCTTTCCTCCTGAGACTGCAATGGTCCTGCTCCGGCCCGGGGTGTGAGGATAGAGGAGGGTGCTGGCCTTTCCAGGGTGGGGGGTGGGGGTCCTGGGGTGTTGGGCACACATGCCTGGGTGGCAGCCAGGCCCTCCTCCTGAGCTTCAGCCTCCGAGTCCATGAAGCAGGATCTAAGGTCTCCCCCCCGAGGCTGTGGGAGGATTAAATCGTGACCCAGTGTAGAGCACAATTCATCCCTGCAGGGCCCTTGTGCATAATGCCCTGCAGAGGGATCACGTGGCCACAGCCACAATGTCGTCCCCACGGCAATGTGCATCTCATGGAGCAGAACTGGGAGACTGCTGGGCTCACGGGCCTCCTTCCTTGGACCGGCACAGGTGACCCAAGCCTGTGTGGAACTGGAGGCCCAGCTGACGAGGGGCTGGAAAGACCACAGGCTGCCTGCGTCCCATGGATAAATCAAGGTAGGTGTCCTGGGCTGGATGAAGCTTTCAGGGAGAGGTTTGCTCCCAAGCTCCTCCTAGAGAAGCAGAAGGCCCCGGCCCTGGGGAGCCCCCTTCACCCTGACCTCCCACTCCCCTGGGGCAGGGCCTCAGGAGGACCCTGGAAGGCCTGAGGCTCCCTAGAGCCTTCAAGAGGCTGGGCCCCAGATGCTCCCTTGGGTGGGAGGCCCCTCAGGTGGGAGGCTCTGGGGACAAGGCGAGCACAGTCCCGTTTCCGCCCAGCTTACAGGCAGTCATGCGCTGTCCGTGGCCCCTCCCTACACTACCCCTGACCACACGTCCCGCACATGCCAGGCGCCGAGGCACGGACTCCACGGGACCCTCCTGACCCGGCCCCCGGCCCCTGGCCACACTTCCCGCATGCGCACGTGCCGGGTGCCGAGCCACGGACCCCTGTGGAACCCTCCCTACCCGGCCGCCGGGCACACTTCCCACACACACACATGCTGGGCGCTGAGGCACGGACCCTGCAGGCCCCTCCCTACCCAGCCCTTGCCACACTTCCTGCACGCGCACACGCCAGGCACCAAGGCACGGACCTACCTGGTGCAGGGCGAGCATCCAGGGGCCGAGTCTGAGGACGCCCTGCAGCACAGCCAGTGGCCGCCCAGGTAGGCAGACGGGTGGTAGACGGTGAGGCGCTTCTGGTTGCACTGGCTCACTTTGGTGAGAATGTCGATCCAGTCCTTGGCCTCCACGCAGTTGTTGGCCTGGATGTAGAGTGCGCGCTCCGGCTGGATGACCTGAAACATCTGAGGATGCAGGCGGGCTCAGGATGGCGCACGTGAGGTCCTGTGGCCGAGTGCATGCCAGGGTCTGGCAGGCACCTGGCTGTCCTCGCTGGAGCCTCAAGAGGAGACACTGAGGGTGCACAGGCCCAGGGGTCCTGGAGCTCTAAACACTAGGAGCAGCCAAGGTCAGGGGTGCACAGAGCCCTCTGCCACCCTGAAACCTGACAACCAGTGCTGTGGCGAACGGAGGTGAGAATGGGTGTGGCTAGACATGGCTGGGCGGCCAGGTATAGCTTGGCCAAGGCCCTTTATGTGCCAGGGCCTCAGAGGTCTCCGTTCAAAGGCAGAAATGAAGCCCTGTGGTCTCCCCATGAGGCTCCTGTAGCCAAAGACAGGAGTCCCATCCATGCGGGGTTTCTGCTCTATCAGCCGGGGTGGCCTGGCCTGCTCAGCTCCTCCCCCACCTTACCAGCCCAGGGCGCTTCCTCCTTCCTCCCTTCCTCCCTTCTTCCCAGCCAGGGTTGGGGGGCTGCTCAGGGCAGCAAGAACCTTCGCCATTTATTACTCAGTCAACAAACATGGCTGAGCACCAGCAGTCTCCCAGGTCTTGGAGACAAAGCCTGGCCTAGGATTTCTGCTGAACCTGCAGCTACCAAGAAAGACTAAATAAGCGCAGGTGGCGGCTGGGGAGGACGCATGGCAGGTGCCAGCAGGGGCTGGAAGTGAGCAGTCCTGGTGCTGTGGACAGAAGGCTGACTGAAAGTTAGCTCGGCAGGGAGCTGACACGGTAGAAGAAATGGGAGGCACAAAGGTCCTGGGGCAGGAGGTGGAGGGTCCCAGGGCAGGGCGGACAGGGGTCTTGTGATTGGAGGGACGGGGTCCAGGGGCAGGGGGGACAGAGGTCTAGGATTGGAGGGATGGGGATCCCGGGGCAGGGAGGATAGGGGTTCTAGGATTGGAGGTCAGAAGTTCCCAGAAGGAGCTGGCTCTGGGGCACACGAAGACAGGTTTTCTGAGTAGAAGGCCACCTGGAGGCTGGGAGGCTTTCATAAGGACTTGCCCTTAAGTCAGGAATCAGGGGAACAGTGGCCTTCTCCCGCAGATAGGCACTTCCTTCCACTGATCTGGGGAGGATTTAGGCTCCAGGTTTCTGGAGAACAGCTGGGGTCTTATTTACAGAGGCCAGGAGCCACCTGTGTGCAGGTCTCCCTGTGTGCCCCTGAGCATGGCTGTGATCCCCCATGGAGGGCGTCCTGCCATCGTCCCAGGCTCGGCCCTGCCACCAGGAACAACCTCCAGAAAGGTCTCCCCAGCTGCCGAGAGCCTGGCCCGGCAGCAGCCCCAGGGGAAGCGGGCCCTGAGGAAGTCAGCAGGACATGAACAGCAGAAACTATGGAACTATTGGAAACCTATGGAAAGGGTTTGAAGTGATTCCAGGACATTCCCACACTGCTTCCTTCCAGGGACGGTCTCAGGGCAGGTCCCAGCCTTCCCTCAGTCAGCAGGCACTGAGCCCACGACTCTATGGGTGCTGAAACTGGGTCCCAGTGTCCCCTTCAGTCAGCAGGCGTTGAGCCCACACCCTCCTCTTCAAATACTCTATGAAGTTATGCTTATTGTGGACCTGTCTGGACCGCCTATGAATAATAACCTAGTGAAATTCCACCAACAGTAAGGAACGTGTGTCGACTTTGGCACAGGGCCCAGGGACTGCACCTTCCCCACAGCTGCTCTATGACCCTCATTCTGCAGTCAGAAGGCCTGTCCCAGCCAGACTGTGGCAGGGCACAGGGTCAGCCTCAGGATGGCAAGGAGGGCTGGGTCGCTGACTGTAGGAGCACCAAGTCAGGGAGAAGGCAGCCAGAGGCCAACCCACCCTGGGAGGCCACCAGACGATGGCAATGCCACAGACACCTCTAGGGGATTCCTGCCAAAAATGCATCATCAAAACCTCCCACTTTGGCACATCCGACAAACCCACAGTGAGGGACGTCCACAAAACTGCAGGGCTGCACATCTCAAAAATGCCAAGGCCACCAGGCACAAAGAAAGGCTGGGAGCGTCCAGTCGGCCAGACCGAGGGGACAGCAGAGCAGATCATGGACTGGATCTTGAGGGGAACAAACCATAGCTGGGGGTGTGCAGTTGGTGGCAAATTCAAACATGGCTGCACTGGCCCCACACGGCGGGTGGCTGCTGTAGTTTTGGGGACTGTACTGTGGGAAACACACTCGGAAGCGTTGAAGCTGTTCAAAAAAGCACAGGCATGACATGTGGAGAGAGAAGGAACGAATACGATGGTGAACAAGGCCACGTGTGGGTCTGGGTGTGACACATGGAGAGAAGGATGAATACGATGGGGAATGAGGCCACGCGTGGGTCTGTGTGTTACACGTGGAGAGGGAAGTAACGAATATAATGAGGAGTGAGGCCATGCGTAGGTCTGGGTGTGACAAGTGGAGACAGAAGGAATGAACACAATGGGGAATGAGGCCACGCGTGGGTCTCGGTATGACACGTGGAGCGAGAATGATGGATACAACGATGAGGAATGAGGCCATGCATGGGTCTGTGACACGTGGAGAAAGAAGGAATAAATACGATGAGGAACGAGGCCACATGTGGGTCTCGGTATGACGTGGAGAGAGAATGAATGAACACAATGGGGAACAAGGCCACGTGTGGGTCTGGGTATGACACGTGGAAAGAGAAGGATGAATACGATGATGAAGAACGAGGCCACGTGTGGGTCTTGGTCAAGCGTGTGTGGAAAGTATTTATTCTACTCTTGCAACTTCTATAAATTCAAAATTATATCAAAATTTAAAAGGTTCAAAAAAGTTCTACACAGTCCCAAGCCTGTTTTTCGGGTGTCCTTTGACAGAGGGCCCCTTGACCTTGGGGACCCTGCAGGGGAAGCCACCTGGAACAGCTCAGGCCCTGCCTTCCGGCAGGCTCTACCCCACCCCGTGACCCCGGGTACGAAGAGCCTGGCTGCTTTGGTACAAGATTCGACACAAAATCACCAGCACCAGCCCGAGTAATACGGAGCCTCTGAGAAGCCTGGAGTGCAGGGGGTGGGGAAGGGGTGAGCCCAGGGCCGGGGACCAGAAGAGCAGACAAAACCTGGCCGAGCCTCAACCCAAAAGTGAGGCTTGGGGACACCGGACTCACATTCTTCATTTTGAAAGACTCCTCCTCCAGCTTTTCCACTGCCAGGATGTTCTCGATGGAAATGCTATAGAGAGGCTGGTCCCCTGCAGCAGAGAGGGGCAGTCAGCAGATGCGGTCCCTGCTGTCCTGGCTGGCATCCAGGTGGGGCTGAGGGGGTCTCTGCTGAGGGGGGTCTGTGTCAGGGGTTCTCTGCTGAGGAGCTCTCTGCAGAAGAAGTCTCTGCTAAAGGCATCTCTGCCAAGGGGTCTCTGCTGGGGGTGTCTCTGCCAAGGGGGCATCTCTACTGAGGAAGTCTCTGCCGGGGAGTCCCTGTAGGGTGGGTCTCTGCCAGAGGTGTCTCTGCTGGGGGTCTCAGTCAGGGGGTTCAGCCTGGTCGGGGGGGAAGTCTTAGCCGGTGGTGGGGTCTCTGCCGGGATACCCTGGGCAGGGGGAAGTGCCCTGCACTCCTCAGGCGTGGCGGCTGAGTCACTGACAGGCTGCAGCTATGGGGGCTGAGGAGGCCTGGGACCCCCAGCCCTGCCACACACACAGGCTGGAACCGATCCCTGCATCCCCATGCTGCCGTGGCCTCAGGCTCTATCCACAGGACACGTCCCTGTTCTCGTGGGGAGAAGCCATTCCGTATTTCCTAATCTAGATCTGAGCCAGCAGATCCGACAGCGAGGGGCAGGAAGCCATGGGAAGCTCCGTCCACCTCGGGGGCGCGGCTCCGTGGCCGTGACAGAGACCGGACGAAGAAGGGACGGTGGACGGGAAAGGGCATCACTGATGCAGGCTCTGCGTTTACTGGTTCTCTGGGAAAGCTGGTTTCCTGAAGGCTGGGTTTCCTCACCTTTCTGACAGCAGGTCTGAAAGACCCTCCAGGGATCTTTGAAGGGACAGCCAGAAGCAGAGGGCTCTGGGTCGCGACGGCCAGGCTCTGCCTGCAGCACCCGATCCTTCCTCCCCTTGGCTCCCCCCACCCCGAGAAGCAGATGTCAGTCCCAGGGCACACTCCAGCAGGAGCCAGGGAAAGCGGCCTTGCTCCTTACCTTTGCTTTTGTGGTAGGTAAATTCATGGTTGGTCAAGCGAAACCATCTCTTCTTAAAATTTTTCATCCCAAAGCGCTTCCGTCCTTGTGCCCGCTTGATCATGAACCTGTGTGAAGAGCACGGGGCGGGGGCGTCTGGCCTTGGCCTCCTCCCTGCATAGGCGCAAACCACACTCCCACTTTCTGCGTTCCTAGACCTGAGGCAGATGGTGAATTTTCCATATCTTATCCTTTTACTCCAAGTAATGAGATTAAAAAATTGGAAGGCAACGCCTCTCCTTGGAAAAGTTCAGTGCTGACTGCGTTAGCTTTGAGTCACCAAGTGGTGACGGCGCCAGGTTCTGGGAGATCTCTATCCTCTCACCTCCCACACCAAACTTTCAACAGCGGTGCTGCCACCAGAAATACCAACTCGATGCTCCCACAGCGGACGTGCAGTCGCCGGCTCAGGGCCAGGGCAGGCAGTGGACGACACTCGCCAACAAAACCCACGCCCATGGTGCAGCAGGAGTCATGCGTGGTGCCTCTGCCAGACCAGAATCGCCTCCCTCAGGGCCAGCCTCAGTGTGGGAAGGCAACGTTGGGCTGTGTCCTCAGGAAATGTGGGAAGCAGGAGACAGGATGGCCACTGAGGACGCAAGGCCTCAGCGAGGAGGACCCAAGGTCTGGGCCCAGACAGGGACCTCGAACGCCCTCCTGGCAGCCCAGGGCCCTCTGAGGCTCAGCCTTCATCGCTGAGTGGGGGTCCCTGACCAGAACCGGCGGCCGAGCTAGAGAACAAAGCGGCCAGGATGACTGGAGGCCAGAGGTGGAGGCGGTGGCCGAGTCACCAAGCTGAGCAACGGCGGGGAGGTTGGGGGAGGGAGATGCAGCTCCACTTAGAAAAGCATGCACGGAGACTTCGGGGAGGTGTGGGGGAGGCGAAACTCCACTTAAAAGAGCACGCCGGGAGACTGCGGGGAGGTGCAGGGGAGGTGCAACTCCCCTTTAAAGAGCACGCAGGGAGAGGTGCCCAGCGACATGCTCTTGGAAGTGGGATGAGGGGCTTTGAGCAACGACACAGCCAGATGCAGCCAGAGACCTGTGGACGCCCACAGGAGAATGTAGAAGCCCCGGAAGACACCAGACAGCACGGTTCACAACCAGTGGATGCAGATGGCCGCGAGCTCCAGGGAGTCGCAGGCAGGAAGTCAGCCCAGGAGGCTGCTGAGGACCAGCGGGACGGGCAGGGTGGGGCCGCCTGGTGAATAGGGGTGGGGTGGGACCGGGAGCTCCATGGGGAGCTTGGCCCCTCGAGGGCAGGAGGACGCCCCTGAGAAGACTCTGGACCACATAGCAGTTGGATTTGAGGAGTAGTCTTGTTATAAATGTGTTTGGCTTTAGGATTTTTTTAAGAGCCCCAGCTTTCTGAGGGCCTTCGGTGGATGAGGCTGCATGTGAATTTCATGTATGAAGCAGGGTTTCTAGGTCACGGCAGTGCTGAGCGGAGAAGGCAGTGGCCCCTCACTGCACGGCCCTGGTCAGGGTACCTGGCTCTCAAGGAGTCGGTTTTCTAACTGGGACCATCACGTGTGGAGGCGGGAGCCGCGGCTGAGCCAGAAGCCTCGGGCTGAAAGCAGCTCAGCCCAGGCAGGCACAGCTGACTCAGCTCAGCAAAGACACCCTGCACTGCGGAGGCCCTGGTCCTGTGTCCCAGTGGGTGAGGGCACACAGAACCGAGAGATGGCAGAGGCTGGGAGTGTCTCAGTGTGGAGGGAGCCCTCAGGAAACACGGTCTTCACCACCTCCACACCTGGAGGAACACGCAAGACATGCTTGCCACCACTGGCTGAGACGGCAGAACCAAGGCACCGGGGTGGCCCTGTGCGTGCACACTAAGGACGGCTCTGGGTCTGGGGATGTGATGGAGCCGAGGTGCTGGAGGAGAGGCTGATTAGGGGCGGGAAACCCAGGGTCCTGGTGGACCAAAAGCTTGGCATGAGCTGCATGTGGCACAGCCGCTGGAAGGACCTGGTGGAGTCTCAGCTGTGTCTGGGGCCTCCAGGAGGCACCTGTCCTTGAACCTCTGGCATCTATAGCAGCTTCTCAGCGTCAGGCACCCAAGCCCTGGTGTCCTGCATTGCTTTAGGGATTACAGGATGAGTATTTGTTGCTTTGAATGTTGTAAACTTATGTAATGTGTGTATTACTAATGTTATTGGTTAATATATGACTAAGTTAAAAGGAAAACAGCAATGTGGGTATTGCTGCTGTTAGGGTGTGGTCCAGCAGTGACCCACGGATGGTCCAGGTTTGAGCAGAGACCGCTCTAATGGAGTATCCACAGAAATAAACAAATGGGACTTAAACTAAACAGCTTCTGCACAGCAAAATAAATAACCAGCAGAGCAAACAGCAACTCACAGAAAGGGAGGATATTTGCAAATCACGGATCCAACAAGGGACTAACAGCCACAGTTTAGAAGGAACTCAACAAAAAAAATTTTTAAATAACCCATTTAAAAGTGGCCAAAGGACAGGAATAGACATTTTTCAAAAGAAAACAAACGTCCAACAAGCATACAACATAAAGCCCAGACTGGCTCATCACCTGAGCAGAGAACCAGAGCTGCCTGTGACTCTGGCTTGCTCCAGGCGGAACGGAGCTGCCTGTGACCCTGGCTCACGCCCAACATAAAGCCCAGCCTGGCTCATCACCTGAGGAATGAGAACCAGAGCCACCTGCGACCCCAGCTCACGCCAGGCAAAATGGAGCTGCCTGCAACCTCGGCTCACACCAGGCCCAACAGAGCCGCCGGTGACCCCAGCTCACACCAGGCAGAACAGCTGCGATTAAATAAACGTGGAAGAAGAACAGGTGCTGTCAGGGACGTGGAGGATATGAGCGCTTGCACGCTGGTGAGGAACGGAAATTAGCGCAGTGCTCAAGGAACACGCACGGAGATTTCTCAAGGAGCTAAAAGCAGAGCTGCCGTTCAATCCAGCAATCCCACACAGGGCCCCCACCCAAAGGAAGAGCACTTGTACCAAAAAGACACCTGCATGCGTACGTTTACCACTGAACTACTCACAACAGCAAAGACTCGGAATCCACGCACGTGTCCACCAACGGACGACTGCGTAGAGAAAGTGGGGCATAAATACACCACAACACACTCCACTGTCAAGAGGAATGCAATCTTGGCTTTCCAGCAACATGGATGGAGGTAGAGGTTGTTACCTTAAGGGAGACGACTCAGAAATGAAAAGCCAAACTTCCTGGGTGTCTGGCATTGCTTTAGGGATTTAGCTTCTCATTGGTATGTGGGAGCTAAACACGGAGTTGGGGAGCTCTGGACATGGAGTGTTTGGAATCAACAGATGCTGAAGCCTTGGAAAGGTGGGAGGCGGCAGCAGGAGAGGGAGGAGAAACCACTCTGTCAGCACAAAGCGGCCGCTCAGGGGACGACTACACTGGCAGCCCTGGCTCTGGCACTGTGCAACACACCCATGCACTGAAGCTGCATCTTTGCCCCTGACGTTTACGCAAACACGTGACAAACAGGAACATGGGCCGTGCCCAGCAGAGTGCAGCCCCAACTGGGAGGGGAAGCTGGGCCACAGGACCGGGTTGGTGGAATCGGGCAGATGTGTCAGTATTTACACAAGGAAGGGTGGTGGGCTCTGATGCTCCAGGGGCCACCGGGTGGAGGCCAAGGAAGGACGGGCCTGTGCCGTGGACATGAGCAGCCGTGGAGCACAAACACTTGCCTCCAAGGGCACCAAGAAGGCGGCGGACAGGTCCCAGGCCGTTCCCTCTGACCTTGGTTTCCTGACCAAAGAGCCCTCAGGAGCCCTGAGGGAAGCCAGCCCCAGGTGCGGGTGTGAACGAGGCTGCCAGTGGTGCAGATATCTTGATGGCTGGTGACTCAGCTGACTCCTCTCGCCACCCTCCACTGACCGGCTGGGCACAGGCAGAGGCCAGGTCCCGGGTACCTCCCGGTGAGTCCCAGAGGACACACAGGAGGCCGTGCTGCTGCCAAGGGCCAAAGCCCCAGCCCCAGGCTGCCTCCCAGCGAGGGAGGAGACTGCCCCGACCCGGGGAATCTTCCAGAATGTGCTTGGTGCCCTGGGGAATGAGGGCCCCTATCCATTTCTCCCCTCCTGCCCTGCCGGACGCCACCTTACCCTTCTTTAAGCAGGATGGGCTGCTCAACACTCTTGGGGTCTCTTCTCCCCGAGGACGAAATCAGATCCAAGAACTAGAGTGAGAAGAAATGGGGTCACTGGGAGGGAGCCACATGCCAGATGAGCGCGCTCTCCTGGAACAATGGCATCAGTGGCCCGGGCCTCCTTTCAGATACAGGTGGAGACAGAATGCGGAGAAGTGAGTCCTTCCCTGAGGGCAGTGGGGCCTCTGCTCCCCACTGTGCCGCCCTAGCTCGGCTCTGCCCGGGAGGTCTCAGGTGAGAGGCAGCAGGTGGTAAGGCCGGCTCAGGCAAAACGCCTGGAGATCAACCTGCATCTGTAGAGGCCACCCAGGGGCGATGCTCATGGGGGAATCCAGGGCTTGAGCAGCGAGGAGGCTCAGGCCCACCTGGATCCCCCCAGCTTCCTGGGGGACGCCTCCCCTCTGGCCACCGTCCTGGCCTCCCTGACAGGGGCTTGCACTCCACACAGCTCTGCCGCCCCATGACTTCTTTGGACCCTGTCTGTCCCTGACAGCTCTGAGCTCATCATGTCCCTTCCATGCTGTTTTCATTGAGAGACGCTGAGATCACCTCTGGACAGCGGGAGGAGCAGAGCCCTGGGGTCTGGGTGTTCTCCCATGCATGGCGTTCCTGACAGTGGGTGTGGGCCCCAGGACTGCAGCCGGGAATCAGCTCGGCCGCCACACACCCCAAGGTGGGACACACCCTCAGCTGGGGGCTCAGACATAGAGCGGGACAGGTGAGGGCCCCACGTTGGTCCCAGAGGCGCTCAGGCCACAGAGTTTATAGACTGCGAGAGAAGGCGGCATCCCAGGCTAGGGGTGGGGCTGTTTGGGCAGCACTGCGAATGGATCGAATGCCCTGACAGTTTAAACCATCAAAGGCCAAGTCTGTGTCACACGGGCTTTATCTAAATTGTGACAGAGCAGCTTTGTCTCCTGGGCACAGCACGGGCTGCGGAGGGAGTCAATACTTACGTTTTTCACCGCATCAGCGTATTTCTGCTCATTGAAGAATTCATAAAATGTAGCCATGTAGGACTCCTTAAAACTCGCCTAAAATGAAACGGAGATCACTTGAAGACAGCCTCATGCACCTCGGCTCACAGCCCAGATCCGAAAAATCTAGAGGCAAGAATTATTCAAGCCTAAATGAGGATAAACACTCGAAAACCCAGGCGTTTGCAGGGCAGCCTGGAGGACGAATAGCAGAAATTGCTCAGGCATGAACCAAGACCATCAGACCCGTGCATGCCCATGTTGCCACCAGAGCCCTTTGGCATCAGTGACTCCATCCCAGCCCCGGCGTCCCTCACACCTGCGTCCCAGGCTCAGGAAGAGCTATGCTGGGGGCAGATGAGGCTGCCTGGGAAGCTGTAGCCACGGGCCAGGGTCCCAAAGCCACCATACCCATCTCTCATTGAGGCACAAGGGCCACTCCGAAGTGGGAAGAGGGGGCAGGGAGCTCTGTCATGTGGGGAAGGGAGGCACCCCAGGGATTCTGGGGGGCAACTTCATAGGCACCATTCTTGAGGCTCAACCCCCAGTTCCTGTCGCTTCCACACTGAGGCCACTGCACGGTTCCCTGGCTGTGAAATGAGGTGGGTTTGGGCCAGACCTCGGAGGAGGCACAGGTGCCTGTTACGGAGTTTCCAGCCCCCAGTTCGGGGCCTGGATGGTGAAAAGCAGTCAGCGCACCTCAGCCTGCCTGTGGGCATGGCATGTCTTCATTCCCTGGGACTCAGAGAAACCCGTCTTCCCCGAGGGGGCTGCTCCTTCAGTGGGGGCCCTGCTCCCCAAAGCCCTCACTTCTACCCAGGTCCCACCAAGAACAGGGAACCAGGAGGCCAGGGATGTCTGTGCACCACGGTCCAGCCCTCTCCAGCTGGAGCCCTGAGGGCACCTGAAGGCCTCATCCTGCCCTGGCTGGGCTCCCGCAGAGACAGCCTCAGCCTCTACCGTGAGCACTGCTCCCAGGACCCTGCAACTGTTAGCCTTTGACCTCCCCAAACTAGAGTCACACACAGGTGTTCTTAGGGGAAAACAGGGCAGACGCTTGAGGGACCCCAGCCCAGCGGCACTGCATCTGGTCTGAGGGGACAGGGTGGGAGACAGCAGTTCATATCCACAGGGCGAGAGGGGCTGGGGAGGAGGTGCCGCATGGGGAGGGGCGCTGAGTGGGTAGGAGGGCGCCGCGTGGGGAAGGGGTACTGGGTGGGGAGGGGTCACCGTGTGAGGAGGTGGGTGTGTGTGAGGAGGAGGGGGCTGCGTGGAGAAGGGGCACCGTGTGGGGAGGAGGGTGTGCATGAAGAGATGGCTGTGTGAGGAGGAGGGGCCTCGTTGGTAGGAGAATGCTGAGTGGGGAGGAGGGGGCCACAGGGGAGAAGGGCACCTCATGGGGAGGAGGGCCCCACGTGGGGAGGAGGGGGCCGCGTGGGGAGGAGGCTGTGCATGAGGAGATGGCTGTGTGGGGAGGAGGGGGCCGAGCGGGGAGGAGGGGGCCACAGGGGAGGAGGGGGCCACAGGGGGAGGAGGGGGCCGCTTGGGGAAGAGAGTGGGGGTGGTGCGAGGAGGCGGCCATGTTGGGAGGAAGTGGCTGCTGCATTGGGAGGAGGTGATCGTGTGTGGAGGGTGCCCGGGAGGCCCTAGGTCAGGCCACCTGCCCGGCCTGCTCGGCTGCTCCCACACCTGACAGGTCAGATGCACCCACTGCCCCTGCCACAGGACCAGCAACAAGCCACAGGCTCCCGGAAAAGACAAGGCGTTTACTTCAGAAGGGGAGAAGTGGCTGGGACCAGGGCGCTCGGGTCCTGGGCGTCAGGAGGGGATTGCGGTGCCGGCTTTTACTGTTGATTTACCTTACAACTCTCTCTAATGTGGGAGGTTTTTCATGCCTATTTTCTGAAAAAAGAAAAGAATCAGTTATCCTCAGAAACTGAAGGAGAGACTCACAGACTTGGACTTGGACAGGCTGCCGAGGGTCTGCACGGTCTTGGAGATGAGCGTCAGCGTCCTGGACGTCTGGGGGTCCTGGGGAGGTGGGAAGGAGAAAGGTCTGTGCCAGCTTCACAGAAATGCTGCAACTGCCCCAGAATCACCAAGGATGAGATGCAGACGTCACCCCAGAGCCGCTGTGGCTGGTGAGTGAGCTGTGGAGCAAGAGCGGACACAGGACGGGAGGGGTGGTGCCCACAGTCCCAGGAGCCGCTGAGAACATCCCACAGGCAACGTCGGAGGGCACCACGGGGACCCACCCTCTCGGCCCAGCGTGCAGGGTGCATCTCATAGCAGAAGGCATTGGGGTCACCGCTCTGGGGCGCTGAGCCTCTTGGCCGTGCCTGGGGCTCATCTCAGCCTTCATGGGGTTTGAAGGCCAACGTAGAAGTGCCGGGGCCATGTGCAGTGGCTCACGCCTGTAACCCCAGCACTTCAGGAGGCCGAGGCGGGTGGATCACTTGAGGTCAGGAGTTCATAATCAGCCTGGCCAACATAGTGAAACCCCATCTCTACTAAAAATACAAAAAATTAGCCAGGCATGCTAGCACACACCTGTAATCCCAGCTACTTGGGAGGCTGAGGCAGAAGAATTGCTTAAACTCAGGAAGTGAAGATTGTAGCAAGCCGAGATCACACCACTGCACTCCAGCCTGGGTGACAGAGTGAGACTCCATCTCAAGAAAAAAAAAAGTGGCACGTAATGGGCCTTCCCTCACGTCCCTCACCCTGGCCAGCTCCTTCCAGCTCTGCCACACCTGCTTATGCAACACGATCACCCCAGATCCCGCACCGAGAGCCACAGCCCCAGAAACCACATAGGGGCCTGGTGCAAGCTGGTGCTGAACAGAGATCTGTTGACTCAATACGTGGGTGACACGTCAACCAGTCCATCATCAATACTCCATATGTGATAGGGAGGGGAGGGAGAGCACGGCGGTGACCAGCAGCAAAAACCCTGGCCCCACCGTCCACTGCTTTGTGAAGGTGTCTCCATTCTCCCGGAACGTACAACAGCTGAAACAGAAAGGTCAGTGAACGACCCGCAACGAGGAAGTTCCGGGACCTGGAGCGTCCACACACGCTCTGCATGCACTCCCCACACGCTCCACACTCCACACGCGTTCCACACGCACCCCACATGCACCTCACACCCCACATGCACCTCACACTCCACACGCATCCCACACTCCACACCCACTCCACATACTCCAGACTCCACACGCATCACACACGCACCCCACACTCCACACGCACCCCACACGCACCCCGCATGCACCCCACAGTCCACAGGCACCCCACAGTCCACAGGCACCCCACAG